GCCATAATAATAAACAGGCGGCGGTAATAGTAGAGCGGTTGGGTCAGAGTTGCGTTATGAAGTCAAGAGTTAGAATTTCGGTATTATGTCCGGTATTAGATGACAGGCTTGTCATCAGGCTGACAAAAAAAACGTGCTTAGCGTGAGCAATCTGTGGCTTTAACATAAGTAGGAGTTTATGAGCTTATTTTTTTTATTCTTCCATCATTATTATAAATAAGTTAAAAAATTGAGCAAAAGAAAGGTTGAAGTTTGTTAAGGAACGTATTTTTACCTTAGACACAAAACGCCAATTGCGAAAGGAGAGGCCTAAACCATCCTACTGTTCCCCATGTAAAAGAATTTTTAAGACTAAGTTTGGCCTAGCCAGCCATATCAGAGCTCACAATAGGGCAAATCCGTAATTGCTGTGGTCGCCGTCATCGAAATCGATGAGCAGGACTATATATATATATATTTTTATGTAGGAAAAGATCCTTGAGGCAAAGGTTTTATGTTGGGAATTTCCGATTGAAAATGTTTTGGTAAACCTTCCCAATTTCGGATCCCCTTCTGAAAATCGAAATAAAAAGTCCGATAGATTAAAAAAAGGGAGAAAAGCTTAACGTTGGAAAACGAGGGAATCTCGGCTCACAGAGTACGAATTTTGCGTAACTGATAAGTTACGTTTTAAAAAGAAATTTGCTAATATGTTAATGCAATACGGTGAAAAAATTTTAAATTTAAAGAGGTTGAAAAAATTTTAAATTTTAAGAGGAATAAAATGTTATCTAAGAAAATTTCAAAAGGTAAAATCCTTATCCCTACTGTGTTCCTATTATGTTTATTCGAAAATCTTTCGAATAAACAAAATAGGAGAACTAATTATGCAAATGAAATGACAATAAATGTCACTTGTTATTATGGTTTACACGACCGAAATATAGAGTTCTCTGAGCAATCGTTTTAAACGGCAAAAAATCGGCATGATCTCCCGCTTCCGCGCCCGCCTCCGCATTTGAATGTGCCGCGGCCCTCAGCCGCCCTGGGCGCAGATAAGGCATCTGCATTACAGTTTCCGCTTCCGCCGAAGCGAGCACTTAATGCCTGCATAAACAACGGCTAATGGCACATCTCGCCGCGTGAATACTGTTACAGACATTGAATTAAGTTAAAAGACAGATGTATCATACGAAAACATCGAAGATTAAGGTATTCAAATTATTTACAAAATATATATATATATATATTTTGTGTCCGAAAATATTTATATTTATTATACTATTAACAAAATCAATCTACTAAGAAATATTTCGAAAATGTGTGACGTCTGCCAATCCGCAGTGGGTTGGTCTGTACAGGCCTTTGACCAGAAGTGGGGCCTATAGAGGCTGATTCTTTACTTTACTATAATTGTAAAGTGTTCGAAACGTTGCTATATACAACAAATAAAATGCAATACTGTCTGAAAAACAGTTAATTCTACAATGTGAAATATTCGCGTAAATGAAAATAAATAAAGCGACCTTGCATAATATGAATAGTTGTAAGCCATAAACGCAATAAAAACTACATAGCTATTTTGTGTAAAGGTTGCTGAATAAAATCACACACTACTACATTTGTAGTCGTGTGTGCACACATTTTTTTATGTGAGAAGGCAAGCGGACTGGCAGTATACCAGCCGCCCATGGACATTTGCGACACCGCCTTTAAATAAAGTGGGCCCCGGCTACCTCACTCACCAGACGGTACCCAGAAGTATGACACTTCAACTTTATGCCGGTCTATAAGATAGTGGTACTTCCCCGGACGGGCCTGCCCATTCGTGCGATGTATAAAATAATAATGTAAAAAATAAGGTCTATTTTGTATTATGGCAAAGACGAAATAAATAATACAAACGACATTTCCTCATCAAAAAGTATATTATTAAATAATAGCGAAGAAATAAAAGCGTTTTGAATATGTTTATGATACTGCTCGATATTACTACTCATTTTGTATATTTCAGAAAGTTATTAAATTTTAGAAAACATTTCTAAAACTGGTTCTAAGTGTAGTTTTCTTTACAATTTCAATTTGATAATATTATTTCAGCGGTTTATAAGATCATGTTGATAACTGAAATTATTGTCACATTATTTTTCGAGAAACAGACACGATATTCGTATTATTATAATCGTATACCATAGGGATAATATATTACTACTCAGAAACTTCTAGAATTGTAAGTATCTCTGATCTGAGTTAGTTCAAACATTGACTCGTCAAAGCAGCGCTATATTAGTAGATTCTATAGGATAGCATTAGTAGATACTACTAAATATCTTTCTCAGAAAGCTAGAGATGAAAGAGACATTCATTTAGGCGTTTCGTAGAACCTTACACAGTCACCGCACTTCGCTGTTTACGAGTCTAATCCGATTTACTGTGCCAAATGGAATTATATTAACTTTCTATACGGATTCATTTAATGTGTTTAGACGTCATGCCTCGCGTTTCTAGGAAATGGCGCGAGAAGAGGTCGACGGGTCATTGTTTTGGATTTGATTTCATTCAAACGTATATTATACTAGCTTTTCGCCCGCGGCCTCGCTCGCTTTGAAGCACTTAAATAAATATCTTTCTTAAAAAAATCCAATTAAGAATATGTCCCTTCGCAGACTCTAGACTATTTGCGTACCAAATTTCATTTAAATCGGTTCAGTAGTTTTGGCGTGAAAACGAGACAGACAGACAGACAGAGTTATTATATATATAGTATAGTATGGATTATACTTACGAATATCGAGTACAAACTTTAAACGGAGTTGGTTTAGTGACTACGTTAGTTGTTGGCTTCCTGTTGATGGATGCATGTTCCGTGTGGAGTCTGATATTTGTGCCAGTTTTACGTGACAGTATGACTAGACAGTATGACTAAGTGAGCTATAGTAGCTTGTGACAAATACCTGTTACAAAATAACAGCCTGTTATTTCTTACTATGTTTTTACAGTATGTTACTCTATGGTAACGTTACTTCCCTTTCTAACAAAGCTACAAGGCCGATGGAAGAAAAAGAAAGAGCTTGTAAGTGTGACAGTTTTCCGTAACAACTGTGACAAGGTGCAAAAGTTTTTGTCTCTTTCTAACTAAGGTAACAGTCGTTAGCATGAATAAAAAAAGGCTGCGGACAGCTTGTTAAGGAGCAATTTGTGTGGAACAGGAACTTGTATTTAAGTTGGTTTGTAACAGGTACAGGCTGTTATATTTAGCTCTATAAAGGCTAAAATCAGTGTCAGCCTTTTGAACTTTTGCACTCACTTCTGTACACCCTGTTAGGTGTTAGAGCGTGCTAGCATTGTACTAACAAGAAACTGAAATACTTATGTGTTTCCAAGTTTTCTTAAGAGTTTCTTTCTTGATTTAAGAACGTGAGACGCGCGCACAAATCTTCGTTTCGTTGCAACGAATGGTTTAATAATGAATATGAGATAAAAATGTACAGTTACTATTGAGTTTAGCCTAAATAGAGGTAAATAAAAACTGTTTGCCGTGATCACTTTACATCAGATGTACTGACTGCTCTCACCTCGTCCCAAAAACCTTCAATGTCAATATAATCAATTATATATTGATAACAAGTTATCCATAAGTGATTCATACGAAACTAACAAAGGTGAGAAGTGTGTCTACCAATTGCAGACTTTATTCAAGTAGATAGACAAGTCATCTATATAATCAAAGTCATCATCATCATCATTTCAGCCTGTTTGAGTCCACTGCTGAACATAGGCCTCCCCCACAGACTGCCATGAAGTACGATCCTGAGCCACCTGCATCCATCGACTTCCCGCACATTTGCACAGGTCGTCACTCCATCTAGTGGGGGGTCGTCCTACACTGCGATGGCCAGTACGAGGCTGCCACTCGAGAACCTTTCTTCCCCAACGGTTATCGGTTCTACGAGCTATATGGCCGGCCCATCGCCACTTCAGCTTGCTAATCCTCTGAGCTATGTCGGTTACCTTGGTTCTACTGCGGATGTTTTCGTTACGAACTCTATCACGCAGAGAAATACCGAGCATAGCCCGCCCCATAGCTCGCTGAGCGACTTTGAGCTTCCTCATACGGCCAGCAGTGAAGGACCACGTCTCGGTTCCGTAGGTCATCACTGGCAACACACATTGATTGAAGACTTTAGTCTTCAAACATTGAGGTATATTCGATACCCCCCTCTACATGATAGAATATAATCAAAGTATTTATAAATAATTCTTTATCGACCCTTTCCTTTACTTTCGGATTAGTCTGTTGAAAAATTCATTCTGTACACGGACGCGTGCCTGTTCTACGTCATCGACGGAGTTCAAAAAAGCGTGGAGCTCCCAATTCGGTTTTTCTTTTATTTTTGCTTCCTCAGAACTCCATACTTTAGCGTTACTCCATACTACAACAAAATGCAAAAAGAATTTTTAAAATCGACTCACAATTTTAAAAATTCTTTTTGCATTTTGTTCTATATAAAATGTATTGTAAGTAAGATGTTTGAAGTCGATTTGATTTGTGGTGGTAACTTACTTACGAACGTATTTATTTTTATGAAAAATTATGACGTTTCATAAGAACTCGCAAGCGTCTATGTAAAACTGTAGTAATGAGTAAAAAACGTTAGACACTCAATTAGCTGGTTTTGAAGGATTATTTTACTATTCGAAGGATTGCGTCCGTGATATTTATATCATATCCGATGTTCTTGAGTCAAGCGTTGTCTAGTCCTGTAGGAATGCACTAGAAATATCCCCCATCGCGCAGCCCAGCTAATGGGCACTCGAAACATTGTGGCACTTAAGTGTCTGCGCAACGCGCCGCCGTAACTTATTAAGTGCCGCCTTTAGTGCCGCCCACTGGAGCACATGAAAAAAGTCCTCGCTTTCTGGGTTAATGGCGGACCGTAAAGGCGTCATGCGCTAAATTAGGACGCTGTGTCGAGGCACCAGGTGATCTCGCGAATGTAATAAATAAACTTTTCCCAGATATGTCTACGCTTTCGGCTACGAATAAATACGCTAGTATCAAGGTAGGCAGGAAGCTCGTAACAGCGTCTTTGTCGACGGATAGCTTAAGTTTTTTGATAACTTCTTTGGTGCATTAGAGGAAAAAATAGTAGAGTGAACTTTTACTAAACTGCTTTAAATATCTTAAAGATGTGTTGCAATGACTTATTTCCATAACCGCATTGAAAATGCCACGGAATAGTCTATTAATTGTATACGAAATTCACGTCTCATATTATTACTTCTCGAATTAAAATACTTTCACGTGTTCTACAAACTGTCAGTTGAACTGGACTTTTCGTAAAGGGGACATGTTAATTAGATAAAGTGAAAAGTTTTCGTTTCATGACTCTTTGTTCTTTTCTAGAAGTTCTTACGTATTACAGTATATGAAGCCACTTTACGAGAAGCATTGCATAACCACGCGTACCCCGTCGCCACCGGGTGCCGCGCAGTCGCCGCCGCTACGCTTCGAGCGCAGCGCGCAACAGATGTCGCCGCCCGTACACGGCATAAAGCACACATCCCAGATACGTTCCCTTATCGATCACCGCGTCCACGGAACTGCGTTATACTACTAACGAGCGCCACGGGAATGTGCGCCTTAACGCTTTGACATACGGACGCTTACCGCCCGCCATTGGCCGAACCGAAAACTGGGCCGGATTAATTTGCGAGAACGCTCCGCCGCCCCGGGGAAAAAAGTATTTTTTTGACGTGACATGACGTCATTAATATCGGTTCCCGTGTGTGCGTCCGGGGAAGGGCCTCGGAGGGGGGCGGGGGGGTTGTTTCCCGACGATGTTCGAGACGAGCTTCGGTCGGAAATTTCGACATTTCGTTACGAAAGCTACTAATACTTTTTTTTTTACACTGTTTTACAGTTGGATAGTAATCGGATGATTTTAGTTATGTTTCGTAGCGGTCTGTGGGGAAGACAAACTTTAAACATCAATAAAAATTTATGAAATTTCCTTCCTAAGCAAAATATTCATAATGGTTTCCCCCACAAAATCTAGATGTTTTAAACGGCGAGCTCCGCTCCTAAATAACCTTATAGGGGAAAAGCATTTGAAAAAGTAATGTATCAGTCAATGCATATCCCACTCCTGTGTACACAGGAATTGGGGTATGTCTTCGAAATATTTTTTGTTATTATATCGAATATATAACAAAAAAATATTTATATTATATGCAGGTTTTCTCACGATGTATTCCTTCACCGCTGAGCTCGTGATAAGTCAGAACTTAAAGTTAACAATTTTGTTGGTGCCGGCACCGGGATCGAACTCAGGTTGCTCGAGTATATTGAGTTAAACGCTATAACATTGTATTAACATACATAAAATGCCAAAAATTTTTATGTATATGTAACGCAAATAAAACAGATTATGATTAGGATTGTTCATAATATTAAATAGAGACAATTCACTTGATGTTAACTGATTACCGCCGCCCAAGGAGGTTTACAACACTGCTGAGTTGCAGATGCGTTACCCGGTTACTCTAATCACTCACTCACCAGACGAAACGCTAAAGACCAAACCCGCGGGTGATGGCTAGCCGACCGGTTCTGCGTCACATGAAGCTTTAATAGTCTCGGGACTGAAAGCAAAAACATCAGTTATAACAAGATACAAGACGAAACGCTAAAGTATAATACTTCATTCACTTCCCCGGATCTGGACATAACCCTACAAATTCAACGCTACGCTCACAAGTTTTACGAGAATATTAAATGTCAGTTTTTCGTATCTAGGCGCCATATTTATGCAGCAGATTTCTGCGTTGCCTCCAATTTACATGCAAATCCGCACGGCATTGGAATCCATTAAAATCTTAATTGAAAAACTTCACACGGAGAAAACGTATGATAGACATTTAAAGTGGTAGTGCCACGGAACAGCCTCCGCTGTTGCACGGATGGGCAGCCTCGTCCGGGGAATTACCACGGCTTCACAGAAGACCAGCGTAAGGTAAACGGGGCCCCCTTTTTTAAGGGTCGTCAATGAAAGCAAGCCATCGGGTGTTGTAAATGCCCATGGGCGGCGGTATTCATTTCACATCGGGTGAACCGCCCGCTCTCTTGACAACTTTTAACGTAAAAAAAGGTATAAAGTGCTAAACTAGTCTACGGAAGAATGACCGAGTAGGGCGTAAAGAAACGTTGCACTTTTGAAAGTACATGACGTTGCGAAAGCTACGGTGAAACTTTCGCGGCTTAGCCTACGAGGAACTTTGAAGGTGGAAGTTTTTTTAATTCACAAATCCGGATTAATTTTAAGAATTTTTTCCTCAATAGAAAAAACTTTATTACTTTCCTCGTGTAAATTTAATAAACTGTATATCATTTTATATACAATAATAGTATTGAATCTGCCTTTAATCTTTGTCAAACTAATTAAAATTAAAATGTGCCTGGCCAATTTGCAGTTAGATTTTGTCAGGAATTTTATAAAGTCGATACGGTCACCTTTTATTTGCACACCACACCCTATTATTAGCATTAATTGTTTTTCATACAAGTCGTCTTTCATCTCGAGATGTTTAATTTAAGCTTAAGATTGAAATTACGGTGAACATAAAAAAATAAAAATGGAAGTTATTGATACGTTACCGATACCACGTATAGATTTCGGAAAGAGCGGCCGAAAACTAGGAATACCCGTATTGTATATCAACTTTTTTCTTCTGCATTGAATAGCGAACCTTTCACGGACCGCGTACCTTTTTTTTTCATTTCCTCCAATTTGCATACATCCCGTTAAAACGCCCGAGCGAACATTTTTACATTCATAGTTCGAAATGAAAAATGAAGAGAACTCTATTTACGTTTCGCGCTGTTCGGAAATCAATTATGAACTCTTATATACCTATATTTTTTCCCAAAGGTGGTTTTTTGTCGGTAGGTTTAAGCGCCATTATAAAGTTTATGAATGCCGCTATTGACGTAAGAGACAAGAATAAAGTTCATGTTTTCATTAAAAAAAACTCGTGTGTGTGTGTGCGTACTTATGTACGCAAGTAAGAAGTTATACTTCTGACTAGCGTAAATAAATAACTAAAAATTATATCCCCTGTGCCAATACTCTTTCTTTGTGTAAATGACATTAAACGCAATTTATAACGCTTATAACTTGAAATTGTAGGTAAATGATAGTTGTTATTGGTTCGCAATCATTGCATGGAAATACCATGCAATGATTGCGAACAAACGTACAATAAGGCGAAAGATACAATTTTTGAAAATGTTTTTCTCTTGTTACGCCAATGAAGTATAACTTCTAAGGCGTGTACATAAGTACACACAGACTTTTTTTATATATTTATTTCATGCAGTATACTAGGGCCCGTTGGAGCTCTGCTGTGGCAGGCTCGTCCGGGGAATTACCGCGGAAGAACCACCGCCGTGAAGTGAAAAGTCAAAAAAGTCTAGTTTTTTAAAGTTTTCCAACGCATCTCCAAAGCCGCAGTTTTTGTAGAGGTTTATAAGTGGCTAACGGCGGATTTCCCTTAACATCGGACAACGCGCCTGCTGCCTTGCCACCTCACTTTATAATACATTATAGAAGTGCTCGCTTCACACCTCATGAGACAAGAGTATAATAACATAGAGACAACAGAAATTCTACGACTTTTGGCATTCCTAACGAAAACTACGGACAGGGGTTGAGAGATGTTCAAACAAATAACTCGTTGTAGAAACGCAGCGTTGTCCGAATGCCGTTATGTCAACAGATCTCGCCACGGCGTCAGGTGAGGTGAGGAATCGTTAATATTCTTTTTGGGTATTTGTTTCCTTGTTTGTTCATTTTCTAAAACACACCCAATGAATTCTTGACTTATTCATTAGTTTTCTTTTAAAATTGTTAGATTCAGACGAAATAATTCACTTTTCACCCACCAGTTTCTGGACCAACTCCTAGCATTACTCACGGTCTCAGTACTAACAGGGCTCTGCTTTGCAAATAACTAGTTAAATCCTGATTAACACCTTATTGACAACTCCCAGTGTAGTTAAAAGGATAAACCAATAAATTATGGCATTTATTACTTTTTTTACGTGAGAAGGTGGCAAGCGCCTTTTGAGAAGTGGGCCCGGTTACCCCACTCACCAGACGAAACGCGAAGAAATATGACACTTCCACCTCACGCCGGTCTTCTGTGAGGTTGTGGTCTTACCCGGACGGACCTGCCCATTCGTGCGACAGCCGAAGCTGTTGTTAGGCCCTACCGTAGTTTACGTATGTTACGTATTTTGGAAGTTCATCACAAGCTTTGTATAGTCGCATATTGTGCAGTCGTATATCATAAAGAAGATTAACGTTTTTCCCTATATATGAATCTTCTTCAATACATAAATAAGAGATTTTCACCAATAATTGACTCATCACGGTATCTCTGGAACCATAAGGCGTAGAGACTTTTGGTAGGAATATTCCTTTCGCCGAGTGGATGTCAGCTAAGAACGGATTTTACGAAATTCCACAAAACAACGTTTGCCGGATCAGCTAGTCTTTACTATATCCTTACTAATATTAAGGCGAAAGTTTGTATGTATGGATGGACGTTTGTTACTCTTTCACGCAAATACTACTGAATGGATTTTAATGAAACTTCACAATAATTTAGCTCATACATCAGAATAAGACATAACTTATATACCTATTTTATGTATATCCGTCTTTCTGTCTAAATTTTACGCCTTCAGCCTATTCTATGCAGACGTAGTCGGGCAGCTAGTAGTAAATATATATAAGGGTTGCTCCCGAATAAAACAAGCTGTCAAGTCTTGTTACTCACTACACATAATTCACTACTCAGCTGCTTGATTATATACTTCCAAAGTAAGACATTATGTCAAGCTACAGGCGCTGTTAAATATTTTTAATCTTAACGAAACAATAAATCGTTTAACTCTTTAAATTTTTTATCTACTAAAAATAATTATTTTATGTATATACTACGGCTTTAACAATTATATGTTGCATAAAGTTTTTTATATACCAAGGCAACAGTAATTATAGTAAAATTTAAGGAATAACTAAAGTAAAATTTTATTTTGTAAATGTTATAGAAAGCTACATCAATACGCATGAATGGACAAGGGTGGCCTCTAGGTCCGCCATTTTGAAAGTTTCGGACGCTTTCACGGAACTAGTGCAGCCCTGTAAAGGGAGTTACGTGTACCGAAATACGAAACAGGCTCGGGAACAATTTGCTACGGTCGCTTTGTTTCCAGTTAGTGTTTAACTGCGTTCAACGTTAATGATAAAACTCATTCCGCTGAGTTCTTTTCTGTATAGAACACTGTAGAACGTTCGCGTGGTTCCTACAAATATTTCGTGTTACAAACATTGTTGATAAAGCTACGGCCGTATAAAATGAGAGTGATGATGAAATGGAACATTTTAATTTGTGGACGTCAGCATAAAGACTAGATTCCTAGAGTTGCTTATGCTTTATCTATTCTCTTCGGAAAATTATGAGATAACGAAAACTGCAAACATTTCCATCACAAAGCAATCAACTATAAAAGAAATAGATATTACAGCTTTCAGCTTTTTAAACAGTTACA